ATTTCCTGACTTCTGATCTAACCTGTCAAGCCCAGAGCCTGGTCTCCAAGGACCCCATGATACAACTCCACCTCTGTCTGAGGAAAGTGTGAGATCCTACAACAATGCTAAGAAGTTCACACAACTGGGGATTTTGCGCATTATGTGACAGAGATATGTGATTCCAAATAGCCGCCTTTGGACTCCCAACATCAAGGTAGTAGCCCAACCCAACTACAGTGGTGAGGAGAGTTGAAAATTAAAGTGCACATATGTAAAGTGCACCTGTAAAACCATAACACAATCAAGAAAATGAATATATCCATCATCTCCAAAAGATCCCCATGACTCCTGGTAATCTACATGCCCCTGCCTCGAGGCAGACATGGGTATGCTTTCCTACAGAAGAGTTTGTGTTTTCTACAATGGAATTGTGTATATGTCCTTCTGTATGAGACTTCTTTTATTCAACATATTTATTTTGAGATTTACTTATCACTGTTGCTAAGTAGTATTCCATGGTATGGATACATTACAAGCTGTTTATCCACTAACACATTGATAGACATTTGGATGTCTTCCACTTTTTGTCGAGCACAAAGAAAGCTGCCATGAACATTCACATATAAATATGTGTGTGGACATATGTTTTCATTTCTCTTGGGTAAACAGTAGCAGAATGGCTGGGTAAATGGCAGACGCACATGTAACTTTAAAAAAAACTGCCAAACTGTTTTCCGAAAATGTTTATGCTGTTTTACATTTCCAACAGCACTGAATGAGAATTCTAGTTATTCTGCCTACTTGTCAACATTTGCTGTGGCTTATCCTTTTAATTTTACTCATTCTGACGGATGCGTGCTAGTATCTGATTGAGGCTTTAACTTGCATTTTCCCAATGACTAAGGATTTTGAGCATCTTCTCATGTGCTTATACGCCTTGCGTGTCTCTTTGGTAAAGTGTGTTCAAAGCTTTGGGCTTTTAAAAGTTGGGTTTTCTTTTCATGTCAGAACTGTGATACTTCTTTATTCTATTTTTTTTTTTAATGTTTTTATTTATGTTTTGAAGGAGGGAGAGAGACAGAGCATGAGCAGGGGAGGAACAGAGAGAGAGGGAGACACAGAATTTGAGGCAGGCTCCGGGCTCTAAGCTGTCAGCACAGAGCCCCGATGCGGGGCTCAAACTCACGAACTGTGAGATCATGACCTGAGCTGAAGTTGGATGCTTAACAGCCTGAGCCACCCAGGCGCCCCCTTCTTTATTCTTGATACAAGTACTTTGTTGAATACATGTTTTGCAAATATTTTTTCCAGTATGTGGCATTTTCCTACTATTAACAACATCTTTTGAAGACAAAAAGCCTTTAATTTTGATGAAGTCTAATTAAAAAATAAATATCATGCTCTCTATTGCTGTACTTAAGAAATCTGTGCTAAATCCAAGGTCACCAAAATTTCTCTCTATGTGTTCTTCTACAAGTTTATACTTTTTGCTGTTATATTTATGGTCGATTCTTTGTATGATACATGACTGTGCACCTCGTGCTGACCATGTAGGCTTGGTCTATTTCTGAACACTCTCTTCTGTCCCACTGATTACTTGTCTGTCTTCACATCAGTATCACACTATCTTTATTTCCCCATATTTGCAATAAGTATCGAAAATCAGGTAGTGGTAGTCCTCCAAATTTATTCTCTTTTCCAAAGTTGCTTTGGCTATTGTAGGCTCTTTACATTCCCACAGCAATTTTAGAATCATCTTGCCATTAAAAAAAATAAGCAAAAAAGCCTGCTAGAATTTTGACTGGCTTTGTGACAAACTATCGATTATAGAATTGAGAATTTAAATCTGAGTCATCTGACCTATACACACAGCACACATACCCTATGCAGTTCTTCCATTTTCTGCAGCAATCCTTCATGGTTTTCAGGGCTGCAATCTTGGACAACTTTTGTCAGAAGTATCTTTAAGTACTTCACATTTTTATGCTTTTATAAATGGTGTTGTATTTTTTTTTTAATGTTTATTTATTTTTGAGACAGAGAGATAGAGCATGAACGGGGGAGGGTCAGAGAGAGGGAGACACAGAATCTGAAACAGGCTCCAGGCTCTGAGCTGTCAGCACAGAGCCCGACGCGGGGCTCGAACTCACGGACCGCGAGATCATGACCTGAGCCGAAGTCAGCCACCTAACCAACTGAGCCACCCAGGCTCCCCTATAAATGGTGTTGTATTTTTAACTTTGGGTTTTTTTTTTTTTAATGTTTGTTTATTTTTGAGAGAGAGACAGAGCATGAGCAGGGGAGGGGCAGAGAGAGAGGGAGACACAGAATCTGAAGCAGGCTCCAGGCTCCAAGCTGTCAACACAGAGCCTGACGTGGGGCTCAAAACCACAGACTGTGAGATCATGACCTGAGCCAAAGTAGGTTGTTTACCCGACTGAGTCACCCAGGCACCCCTTTAACTTTGTTTTCTTTACTGTTGTTAGCATGTAGAAATAATCCTGACTTCTGTATATTGATCTTATATCCTGAAACCCTGCTAAAATCAGTTGTAGCTTTTTATGTAGGCACCATGGGATTATCTATATACACGAACAAGACATTTGTGAACAGTTTCTTTTCTAGTCTGGATGCATTTTGTTTCTTGGTCTTACATTACTATACGGGCTAGAATATTCAATAAAATGTTGACTAAAAGTGGTGAGACCAAACATCTTTTCTTTTTCCTGATCGTAAGCGGTAAACATACTTCAAAATCAAGCACGGTATTAGCACTAACTTTTTGATATACGACAATGATCAGATTTAGGTTCACAACTGACAAATGACATTGATACACCGTTATCACCAAGTCCAGAATTTACATTAGAGCTCACGCTTGGTGGTATACGTTCTATGGATTTGGACACGTGTGTAATGGTAGTATCCATTATTACAGTATTATACAGAATATTCTCAGTGCCCTAAAAGTCCTCTGTGCTCCATCGATTCATTACCTGCCCCTTCCCCCCACCCCCGGCACCCACTCCTGGCAGCAACTCTCTTTACTGTCTCCACAACTTTGCCTTTTCCAGAATGTCACAGAGTTGGAATATTATAGTAGCCTTTTCAGATTGGCTTCTTTCATTTAGTGATGTGTGTTTATTTCTTCCCTGTCTTTTCATGGTCCAACAGCCATTTCTTTTTAGTGGTGAATAATATTACCTGTGTGGATGGACTACTGTTTATCCTTCCACCTACTGAAGGACGTCTTGGTTGCTTCCTAGTTTGCTGTAAACATCTGTGTGCAGGATTTTGTGTAGGCATGTGTTTCCAACTCTCTTGGGTAAATACTAAGAAGCATGACTGCTGGATTACATGGTAAGAGTGTGTTTCTGAGAAACTGCCAAAGTGTCTTCCAAAGTGGCTATACCCATCTGTATTCCCTCCAGCCATGAATGTGAGTTTCTGCTGCTCCACATCTTTACTGGCATTTGGTGTTGATTTTGGCCATTCTAATAGATGGATAGTTGTATCTCATTGTGGGGGCATAGTGGCTTGGGGAAGGCCTGCCTCACCCCCCGAATGTGGTTTTCCATTCACAGTTGTCCTCTGGGATCCCCACAACTTACCCACAGGTTGTGAAGCTGACCTATACTATAGTAGCATCTGATGCTAACAGAGGACTTCATTTCATGCAGAAAGGTTGAATCCAGTGCTCAGAGGGTCTCTGGTCTATTTCCCAAGGTGCCAATAAGATTACTGGGTCAACAGTCTATGGCCACTTTTTGGCCCTATGAGCCTTCAAAATCCCTCCTTTGCAGCTTGGAAATTTAGTCTGTACATAACATCACCTTAATGCTCACCATTTCTGCCAGGGTGATGGTTTCTGAAGTTAACAATTTTGTTCTGACTGACAGAGGTGACCAAGGCAGGCTGGTGAGGAGTGGGGTAAATCCCATCACCAAGCAAGGCTGCTCCTTTACTAACGATCCTGGGTCCCTGGCATTGTTGAGGGTTCAGACTCTCCTCCATACACCCCTGGCTCTATCTTGGGGTACTGACAGCAAGAGGACCTGAATGAAGAGCAGAGGGGAGAGCTGCTAGGCAGGGGTGAGGGTGGAGAAACTGACTCTAAGCTCAGAGGCCATGTGTGCTGCAGACCTTCCCTGTAGGACTAACCATGGGCCCAAGTGCGTGGCCGGGTGAATCTGTCAACCGGCCCCACAATCAATCACCTTGTAGAGGGTTACTCTTCACTTTCTCTGCTACCTGACTTCACATGCCCGCACCAATGTGTGTGAGCACAGGGCTACAACCACACTGAGTCCACAGCACCAGGAGTAGAGTATTCATGTCTCCAGTGTATTTTCAACTTCACCTCACGCAGAACCCTGCACTACCCTTGAGACAGGCTAATTAAGAGTTCTTCTTTGTCCGTCTTATGTCTTTACAACTGATTCCAGTTTCCTGTTAGTTTTATAGGGTGTAGCCGTACCCCCTCATCCCAATAAAGAAAATCATAAAGCGAGAGGATAAGAGAACAAAAAAAAGCACTGGGGGAAAGGACTGTGGGTGGCGCTGGTCAGAGGATGACCTGGCACACAGGTACAGCGACCCTGGATAACCTCTGAGGACCCACAACACAGTGATCCAGAGAGGACTCAGGAAACCACAGCCTGGAGGCCATGTCCAACCCACTGTTGTGTACATGGGAGTGTTACTGGCACAGCCATTGCGTACCGTTGTCTGTTTTCACATGATAACGTTCAAGACGAATAGCCTGTAAAGTCCAAAATATTTAATACCTGGTTCTTTATACAAGTTTGTTCATGCTTGGTATGAAGGTAAAGATATTAAAAGTTCTTTGATTTTTATTGGGCAGATAGCCCACAGATGATGTGTGTCATTTCTCAAAGATGCTGCTGAGGCATACATATGAGCAATAAGCCCAGTTGTCAAAGGTGAAAATTAGGTACCACTAAATCCGAAATTCTGCTTCCTTCTCATTCTAGAAATTGGATGGTGGAAAAGCCAGCATGAAGTTTGCAGGTTTGGTTTGTTTCCTTCTGCTCGTCATCTGTCAAACTGACTTTGGACAAAATGAAGAAGCACCTAGGAAGCAGCGGAGGAAGATGCACCACAGAAGACTGAGGGGCAGCTCCTCGCCTGCCCGCAGGTCCAGCAGGCAGCTGGGGGACCAGCGGACAATGGTCACACCTGGAGCAACACGTCCCGTGCTGAACCTGGACTACAGCACAGAGGAAAAGTTTGACTCTTTTGTAGGTTTTCTTGGAGTAGAATCAAGTTATAACGTGTTACCAGGTAAGAGCCCAGTGAGAGAAACAGAACCTCCATGAGGACAATTTTCCAAAAAAAGTTTTTTTTCATATTACTGTACTATCTTTTGGTTTAATCTAATGATAAAGTTTGAAATAATTTAAAATTTCATTTATAGAATGTAATTGTAACATAAAATTATTGGAAAAGAAAAAAGTTATCCCACAACGATGTTTATAAAACCCAGTTACTATTTTCGTTTATTAATTTCTGGTCTGTTTACTGTGCCATGTATTTGACATAGTTATATTCCTAATATAGATAATATACATAAAAAGTTGTAAGCTGCTTTTTCATTTATAGTGATAGATCATATAGGATACAGAAATAAATTATTCCGATGACTGAACACAGGGCTGTTAACCAGGGCCTGAGTTAGGTGAGCACAGTGGGGAGGGGGAGGGCGGATCGAACGTGAGAGCCCCCCCGAGGGTGGGAGTTGGGGATGGTAGCTTGTCCCACAAAGGAGAGGTATCAGAAATGATACTGGGTCGGAAGGACAGCATCTCCCCTAACATTCACGTCAAAGCAGGCTGTCTACTGGCCTTCTTGGGTGACACACTCACCCACCTGTGTGCAACGCTGTGCATTGGAAATGGAGGCACTGAAGGCCACTGCACTGTGCACGGTACAAGGGTGAACATGGAGGCATGGGAGCTGTCCTTCCGCAACACAGCAGTTCTCAAAGAAGGGACAGGTGCACTGTCTCCTTGGGAACCAGTGTCAGAGGCACTGCAGAGGCAGGCTCTGTGGCCTGGCTGTCCTGTCTGCACACCGGCAGGTCTGGGGCGTGGGCTCACCACTGGGGCTGTCCCTGCCCTGCTCTCTGGCACCGGATGGAGCTGTACTGCCACGTCTCTTCTGAAATTAGGTACGGCCATCTCATTTGCTGGGGTCAACATAATGAGACGCTTTTGGGGCTTGTCTGGGATTTGCAAACTTCCATTCTCTCTGCTTTGGCCATCAGGGCAGCCTGCTTGCAGATGAAGCCCGCTGATTATTCCTGGGTGGCCATCCTGTGCAGAGGCCGTGTGCCCACACTGGACACACAGCATGGATAAGGAATCCCTGATGCCTGGGGTGGTGGATGCTGTTGTATAACTTAGTCACCCCGACAGGTACAGTGTGGAGGCGCAGTTCAGAGTCAGGCCACCAGGCTGGTCACTCTCAGAGCCTGAGTGAGAGGCTGAGAGAGCAGGAGGACACCCCGCTGGGGGTTACATCTCTGGATCTACCTACTTTGTGTGCAAACACACGCAGGAACTTACTGTGTCCCTGCTTCTCTTTCAGGAAAGAAGGGACACTGTCTGGTAAACAGGATGACCATGTACAACAAAGCTGTGTGGTCTCCTGAGCCATGCACGACCTGCCTCTGCTCCAATGGAAGGGTGCTTTGCGATGAAACCGTGTGCCCCCCTCTGACATGCCCCCAAACCATCACACCGGAAGGAGAGTGCTGTCCAGTCTGCGTGGATACTGGTATAAGTATTTAGCTGAAACAAAATATCACAAGTGACGGAGTCTTCAACTTACATTTGTTTTTGTTTTGTCACTGCCTTAAGTTTTAAATTAAATTATGGTAAACTAGTCATCAAGGTACTGAAGATACTGGCACAGTGATGACAAACATAGACGTTATTTGGGAAAATGCATGGTAGGAGACGGAACTAAATGATCTAGGCTTTATAGTCCCAGCTCTGTCAGAATGCATAAACTTGGACCAGACCACACTGCACACAGACTCTCAGCTTCAGAGAAGCAGTGACAAAGCTGACATAGCCCACAGTTCCCACATTACACGCGGGGTCTCCCTTAATCTGACTCAGGGTGGGTACGTTTAGACCACCAACGAAGATGAAGAACTCTTGGGGAACAGAGGGAGAGGCGGTTTGCATCTGGAGAGAAAAGAGCCCAATGCGTCCAGCCTGTTCGCTCTCACTACTGCTCGGGTCATCTGGGGACATGTGCGAGCATGGCCCTGAAGCAGGGCCCACATCTTGGCCACGTGGCCTGGTGCATGTCTGCTGTCCCCTACGCTCATGGGGCTCATATCTGAGCGACAGACGACTCTCGAGAGGGAGGCGCAGGTCCCCAGGAAGAGCCTAGTTAGTGACTGATGAAATAAACAAACGTGGTAAATAATCTGATGGGAAAGAACAGAGACATCTTTTCCGGTCTACAGTTGAGGTAGATGGACGGTCACAGGGTGGGTGTCTACAGAGGATGTCTACCAAGAAGAACTTCAGAATATTTAGGAATTGCATTTTGGTTTACACTTTTTTTACTAAGGTATTATGCCTTTAAAAAATGTTACCAAATATACAGGCAAGATTTAGAAATTATCAGACATTTTTCAAAGGACTTGGGATAATCTTGAAATGCTGTGGCTATTTTGGAAAAATAAACTTGGATATACAGGAAGGATTTTAAATGTTTCAATATGATAGCTTTAGTTTCCTTTCCTTAATTTTTTCCTGTTTTCCTTTTGCATGCTGTGCCAGAGATGTGAAAAAATAACTCACTGACTTTATAATATATACTGGACCAAAATCTCAAGTAATTCCTTCAAATGGTTACATTTTCTGAGTTCCTTTCTCGGGTGATTTATGTCTAGATGACTCAGTAAAGGTGCACGCATTGGAGCTCACTTCTCCCTGAGCTCCGGTGACTGTCGGGCTGGCCCCATTTGCTGCTCAGTGTGAACGCAGGCGAGCGTGTGCCGCTGACCATTCTGCCCCCATCATCACAGAACAGTGGGGAGCACTCCTGTGCACACTTACAACAGCATCATCTGAGTCCAGGAGGACTTCCAGAAGGTCACACAGTAAAAATGAGACTAGAGAGTCTGGAGGGAGAAAGAGAAAAACTCTCTGTAATTCTAAATTTCAGAAGATGCTTTTGGGCCCGTGGGGCTGAAAGGAAACCAGACAAAAATAATAATAAATCTACAAACAAAAGCCAGTTTCACTACCACAAGCAAGCAAAATACACATTTCACTTTTTTATGTTTGGCGGTACAGACGCTTACACTGTTAATAACCCCAATTAACTGAGCAGTATCTATGATAAAGGTCGCACCTCATCACGTTGCAACCTCACACAGGACTGCTTATCACTGTGCATCATGTAACAACATTATTCCCTCTTTATTACCAGGTAGCCAGGCATTTTAGTAAAAATAAATATTAAGGCCACAGGCAAAACAAAAATTGCCTAAAACAAGTCTTAGAAATAAAATTTCAAAAGGTGTCTCATGTGTATATCGCATTCAAGTACCTGGAGGGAATATTTACTAACCTCATTTTCACTATGATTTTTCCTTTTGCTAACGTCACAACCCACCCCTGTTGTGTCCCCATGGTTGGTAGCTTCTCTCCAGCCACTCAGTGGTACAGCCGTAAGTGATACAAGTGAATTTTCTGGTGATTCTTCAGAACAAAGAGAAGCAACCAACTTACCCTGTAAGCAACTGCCATCTTGTCCGCTGGAAATGAACCCAGTGTTGCAAAAAGAGGAACTTCGGTTTGAGGAGGATGAAGAAGAAATTAAAGAAGATAAAGATAAGGAGCAGAAGAAACAGACTGCTGACCTCGGAGAGCAGGAGAGACCCCTCAGTGAAGGGCGGAGCAGAGAAGGGGGAGAGCAGAGACCCCACGAGGAGGGGAGGCAGGCCCATCAAAGAGGACACCCAGCAAGGGAGGAGGAGGAGGAGGAGGAGGAGGAGGAGAAAGAGGAGGGAGAGGGGGAGGAAAATGACGACGAGGAGGAGGACGGCGATGACGAAGAGGAGCACGATGACACCATCAGAGGAGACGTGTTCAGGATGCCCTCAAGACCCTGGGTCCCCCCCTCTCCCAGACGCATGCCACCTCTGCCCAGCGGGTGCTCTCTGTCCTACAGGACCATCAGCTGCATGAGCGCAGGCCTCACACAGATGCCACCACTCACGGCACCAGAGATAACAAGCCTGGAGCTTGCTGGTAAGAGACGTGGACGCATGTTGTTCTGTCCTTGCCCTGTGAGAGTCCTACTTTAATTTCATAATATAAACTGATCCTCAACACTCTTCGATCATAGAAATAAACTTTGTGGAATAAACCGCATAGTTACGTGTAAGCAAATTTCTCCAAATCAAATCATGATTTCCCACTGACTCTCCCTCAAGTAGGCTTTACTGAGGTGTGGTAACTTATGGGATGTGTGCAGTTGTGTAACTACCCCACATTCAGGGTGCAGAAAACTCCCGTCCCCTCCCCACACTTGCTCGCACCCCTCCCCCCCGCCCCTGGTCTCTGCTGAGGTGACGCGCCTCCAGAGTTTGGCCATCCATGGCCATCACCCAAGTGGGGTCACATGGCACGCAGTCTTCCTGGCTGGGCCTCTTTCACTTGGTGTCTGGATGCTGCTCCTCAGGAGCCTGTGGGGCGCGCAGAGACCACAGGTGCCAGCTGGAGGGTACGGGGTCAGGGCCAGTGTGGGGCGACCGTATGAACAGTTCCACAAACATCCACACACAGAGGCCCGTGTGGACCTGGTTTTCCTCTCGTTAATGCTGAGTGACAGAGTAAATGTGTGTTTGACTTTACAGGAAACCACCCACGGTTCCCAAAGCTGGCTGCGGCCTTGCTGCCAGAGATGCCCAGCACCCCCCACTGGCCTCTCCCTCATGTTAGCCGTTCAGGCGGGTATGGTGGGGTCTGGTCCTCCTCCCTGTTCGTATGAGGTTACCGGAAGGGCTCTGAGCACACGGATGGCAGGACCAGGTGTGTGTCTGTCTGCCCTGAACACAAAGGGTAAGAGAATCTGAATGGGGTTTCGGATGTGCCTCAGGGGAAACCACAGAAATAAACTACCAGAGAAATAACAACTGACCTTGTAAACACACACACACACTCAACAGACAACGTCGGACACTGTGGTTCAGGACGGCCAGTCTGTGACAGGACACCACACTCGAATGATCCCTGGGGAACCCCCTCAGGCCCAGCAGCATCCACCCCCACTCAAGGCTGGCACATCAGGTGCGCTCTGCCGTAAGAAAACCCAATCCGTGCATGAAAAAGGAATGACCTGTGCCCAGTCATACTATCTTGGTTTTACAAGAAGGTCACCACCTGGTTTTTGTAGTACTCCCTGTTTCTGGGAAGCTCATTTTCTAGGTTTAAAATCATTGACTACTGCACTTAACTAAATGTCAAAACAAAATCCCATAAAATTAAAGCACGTAGAACAAACTTCTACAGATCGAGGCCACACAATTGTAACACTAGATCTGGAGGCCATCTGAGCTCCTCGTTCAGAGAAGGAGATTTCAGAAAGGTAAATGATGTGTCAGGATTTCATGGATAACAGCCTCCTCGGATTTCTGGCCCAGGGTCTAGGACACATCAAAGGGAAAGTATGCTTAGATAGATCGTGTCCTTGTCTCCCCAGGGTAGAGCTCTCTCGCTATCTATGCACGTGCATGAGTACACGTATGTGTACGTGCACATGTCTGTGTGCACACGTGAGCCTAAGTTACAGCTGCTGTTTTCCAGGCAATGCCATCACCTCCATTCCTGATGAAGCATTTAATGGGCTGCCGAATTTGAAAAGGCTCGATCTGAGCAAAAATAATATCACCTCCCCGGGCATAGGGCCCAAAGCATTCAAGGTAAGTATACACACTCTGCCTGGTGAGTGATGACCCCCTCGGGCAGCTTTGTCCTGGCAGCAGGGAAGGGAAGGAGACTGAAGTGTTTTCACTGTAGCTTTTTCCTGAGAAAGTCTCCCCGTGATGTCCCTAAACCACTCAAGTTTTATCTTGATCAAGGTCTGTGGGTTTCCATGCTTCACCCATAGAGCACCAACAACGGCGAAATGACAAAACTAGTATTTTGAACTTATGGAGCAGCCTCTCCTCAAACAGCTGAAAGTATGTTTAAATATGGTCTTTTAGTACATGAGCAGAGCTTATCTGGAAACTTTATTTACATGTTCAGGCTAGAAAGACAGAGCTTTGTGATTTTGTGCTGAGGGCAAGACCTGATGAACTTGTGGCCAGCACAGGGTTCTGGAGACACAAACGGGCTCAGATGAAAATCAGCATGGGACAGTGGGGGGAAAGACAAGGGCGAGAGGACAGGAAACAACAGAGAGTAAACCTCTGGAAGACTTGTGTTTGACTAAAACATTTCCTAAAATGGGAGAAAAGGAAAGAGGCCCAAGGAGTGTCAGGGAAGCAAAGGTGCAAACAAGAAAGAAGGGGTCTATGTGTATAAACAAATACACACGTGTACTGTAAGAAGCCCAATGAAACACACTGCAACCCCCTTTATGACCTTTGTACAAATTGCTGGGCACGAGTGTGCTCAGTTCCTGGCTCCCACGCAGTTTCTGGGCTGGGACAGGACAGGGCTCCAGGCACCTGTCCTGCTGCGTCAGCTGAGACTCACGCATCTGCTACGTTTGATCAGAAAGACAGACACATAGGAAAGCATCTCCTTTTCTTGTTTTGGGGTCCTCTGTCCCCTTCCCAAACTGCTGAAGTTTGACTACGTGCTGCTGAGTCACCAGTGAGGCGTCAGAGCTCTACAAGCACACAACCCCAAACACAGGCATGTGCCTCCCAACAGAACTGTGTGGGCACCATGAAGGAGCAGCCTGTGGTATTTGTAGCCACCGTGAAGAAGGTCCACAACACTTAGTGCTATTTTATGACTGTTCCCACTTAGTGTAACTAGAAAATTGAGGTGTGCAGATATATTGTAAGAACTCAAACTGCTATCTTTTGTTTTAATTTTTTTAAATGTTTGTTTTTGAGAGAGAGAAAGAGCACAAGCAGGGGAGGGGTGGAGAGAGGAGACACAGAATCCAAAGCAGGCTCCAGGCTCCGAGCTGTCAGCACAGAGCCCAACGCGGGGCTCGAACCCACGAGCCGTGAGATCATGACCTGATCTGAGGCTGGACGCTTAACCAACTGAGCCACCCAGGTGCCCCTCAAACTGCTGTCTTAATTGGTAGCATCCATGACAGATTCAGAGCACCACATAATCTAATTAACTTGTGTCTACTGCCGAGAAGGTGGAAACCTAAGATGTAGCCCAATGTGACTGGTCCAGTGGTGACAGGAGCTCTCTTTTGCTCACTAAAGCCACAATAGGAAAAATAGGTGAGTGGGACACAAAATCATCAGACACGGTTTGCTGACAATGCTTCCCGCAGGCACGAGTAAGGGCAGGGCGGGTCCGTGAGGCTAAGTGGGGCTGCGCTCTGGGTGCTCAGTGCCATGCGTGACTGCACATCTATACCAGATGAAAAGGTAACTCGAGATTCACTTTTTAAGCTTCTGAAGAAGTTACTGCGCCTGAATATGGACGGGAACAATCTGGTAGAGATTCCTCCTGACTTACCATCTGCATTAGAAGAACTTAAGATCAATGACAACAGTCTGCAGGCTATCAGTGAAGAGAGCTTATCCGGTATGTAACGTTTGGTTGATGGATGTCCTTACAGCCTTTTCCTCTGTGGTCGTGTGGAAACTTTATGTACAGTATTGCCAGATGCACTAGTGAGTTTTTTAGGCCACATCACCATTTACCTTGATAAAATTTATTTACTCCTCTCATGGTTGATTCTGGACCAAACTGAACAACTGAAGTTGTCACATTGTGAGCTCGGCACAAAAGAGGCAGCACCACGCAAGCTGTTCACAAATGCTGGCTGGTGTCTCTGCTGAGGCCAAGTGCTGTGTCCAGACAAAGACGCCTAACTCTTCCTTCCATCCTCCCAACAGTCCAGCACAGCTCGTGAAGTACAGTGCTCACCACTTCCTATTTATCTGATTTGAAATATTTTAAGCCTAAAAAGAATAAAACAATTTTGTTATTTCTTTTTACTCCCAAAAAACCTCACGAGGAACAAAGCCCTTCCAGTGATGGGAAGAAAACCAGCAATCCTAAGAAATGCCAAGTCTGAAAAGTACAGAGTTCTGGAAATATTCTATTTCCAGATGGGACTGCAGGGCGCACATGAAACACATCAATACACACAAATTGTGATAGGCTTTGTCATATGGAAAAGACACCCAGAAAGTGCAATTTCTAACTGCTAGGCGAAACAGGCCGAAGGAACACTGAATTTAGGCCAGCGCACTGATGGGTGTCTGCTAACTGCACGTGAGGTCACCTTTCTAGCTCCATTTTCTAGACCACGTGTTATAAGGCAGAAGCCCCTATCGGGAGCTGTGCTCACATATGCCTGGCAGCGGCTTCTCCACATGCTCCCTCCCTCACACACGTCTCCCCAGTCCAAGCACCGTAGAGGCCTCGGCCATGAGGAAGGCCTCAGGTGACGGTGCCCAGAGAGCCTCTACATTCTGTGCTGAGCCCTCTGCCGTGGACCGTCAGCCAGCTGGCAGCAAGCAGGGTGCCCCTGAGCTCAGGCCTCCACCGCTGCCAGATGCTGCTCTTTCTGCAGGGAGGGAGGCCCCTGGTGTGGCCGCCAGCGGCCTGCTGCTCCCCACGTGCTCTTGTGGCAAGTCTTCACTCACGACCCTTCACGGTACAGACGGTTCCAGAGAAGTGGGCAGGAGGGGTGGTGCAGGGAGAGCAACAGCACGTGCAAAGGTGCACAGAAACAAAAGGGACTGGATGCTTCCGGGAGAGCACGCAGCCCCCCAGCAGTGCTTGTGCGTGGCCACCACTCGCATTCTCCCGTGTCCGTGACCTGCCAGGTTGGCCCCCACCCCACAATGGGAAGGACTTCTACCAACTTCCTGCTTACAAACCCTCTTACACTGCATCTACCCTACAGGAAGCTTCTCTAGTCCCAGCGTGTTGCCTGTCACATTACAACATAACTGTAAACTCACGTATAACATCATGAACTCACACTGGGTGCTACGTTTCTCTCTCTCTCGTGAGGTCACATACCAGCTACTGGTCTACTTTTATTATCTGTTTTCCACGGGAAAACTTCCATTATGTTCCCAAACTTCAACTATGTTCTAGATAAATGGGCTAGATTCTCAGTACCTCTAGTTTCAGAAATTAGAGAGAACATGAGGAAATATAACCACTTATCAGTTTACTGGTCAGGCCTCCTACTTCCTCTCAGCCCTTCAAGTGACGCCACACGGGCTCGCAGACTAGCGTCCTGTCCTGCCGCCGCCGCCGCCCAGAGGCTCCTCACTGCCTGGTGCACAAGGGGCCTGTGCCAAGGCTGTGAGCACAGCCACCCAGTTCGAAACGGCCTGTATTCACCTGGCTGCCTCAGCCTCCCATTTCTCCCTGCGTCGTCCTGTGCTTGGGAGTCCAGCCTCACCACTCGTGTGGTCTGCGCCCCTGATGGTGCTGCCCCTTGCTCTGGCTTGGACAACGTCTTGCCTCTCTAATATGCCTAAGAGAGGGAACTGAGATGTACAGAGCACTCAGTGCAATGCCCATGACTTGAGCTGAATATGATAACATCCCTATTCTGGAAATCTTGGCCACCAAACCAACCCCAAAGTTACACCCTGAATGTCTGACTCAGATGCCTCTGGGTATCATCACTGCTGAGCCGTCCACTCTCCTTCAGGATTCCAGCTGATGTGGATCATGCCACTCCTGAGGCCAGTGGAAATGATGTAGGGAAACTTATTTGTATAAAGGCATTCAGCTCAGTCTGAATGCGTGGAGAATTCTTGATCATTCTCCTTTCCAAACATGCATTTGGCTGCACTCTCTGCCAGGAAGTGAACAACTGTGATGAGAATTCACTGCTATAACTCCCTTGTTCAGAGACTGACATTTGCCAGGCAGAGCACTCCCCTGTCCTCCGTCCATCCCTAATTATGCTGCTGTTTCATCTGGGCGTCCACGTCTTCGCCAATGCTTTAATGACCTCCACAACCTTCTACTGCTCACTTGGGCTCGCTGCCTCTGTGGGACGCCCTCACTCGATAGGCCTGTCTCTGCACTGGATCGCGCACCCAGCATCTTGCTAAGCTGGGCACCTAGGGTGCACAGAGCACTTGGGAAACAGCTCTGCAAGGGGGAGGCCAAAGAAGCGACATCTGCCCTCCAAATAAACTGAACATTTCACATGACATTTTGAAAGATACAGGAACTACATGGTTTTTTGATTTTCTTCATATTCTGACAATTGTATTTTATTTTTTGTAGACCTAAATCAGCTGGTCACCTTAGAACTGGAAGGAAACAATCTCAGCGAATCCAACGTCAACCCTTTGGCTTTCAAATCTTTGAAGAGCTTATCCTACCTGCGTCTGGGAAGAAATAAATTCAGAATTATACCACAGGGGCTTCCGGCTTCTGTTGAGGTACCACTATCTTTCTTCCAATGTTTTATGTTTTAAATACAGTCTACCTGAATTTTAAAAAAGCACTATTTTGAAACATTGTGCGGCAGATTAAATCCCATTTTGGTGCTATATACAGAATTTACTATAATTTCAACATTGTGTTTCCTCAAGCAATACACAATTTTAATTACTAGTAGAGACCCTTGATAAAGTGAAAATTGGTCTTCCTGACAGCTCTTGGGGGGAGAATGGGGAAGATGAATGAGAACTTAAACAGAAACGACAACTTGCAAGAAAGCGTCCCAGTTCCGCGCAGCGCCCATCACTGCCTTCCCACCCTGTGCCCAGGCTGGAGCCTCACTGCCAAGTTCACACCCAACCTCTAGCACTGACAGCAGAGGTCTGGAAGACCCAGCGGGGCCCTGGCTGACTGCTCTGAACTCTGTTTCTGCCCTCCCTGCCAGCTGTGGGCCCACTGCCCACGGAGCCACTGGCCCGGGTCTGCCACGGCTGCCGCAGGGCCACCCTTCTTCATCCTCCTACTGGCAGATTAAGAGAGAAGTTTAGAATTTGTCAAAATTGTAAAGACTGAGGTTCCAACACCGGGCTTTATTTCAGAAAGACGTATAGACCCCTTACCCTATCCCAGACATCCTCAGTCAGGTTCTTTTGAGGGTGGGGTAATTTATAATTTTTTAAGTTAAGGTTTTAATACATAGTGCACGCAAGTAAAACACACGCAATTTGAATAATATGGAGGAGCAAAGGGTCTCCAAATGTGCCTGAACTCCTGTCCCACGTTCTTTTTTCCAGAGGGCCCCTCTCACTGGTAGGGGAGGTGATGTCCACGCAGGTGTGTGTGCTCTGACCCTTCCAGGGCCCTGCTTCCCAGACAGAGTCTAGTGTCTGGATGAGTGTGCTCTGAGTGGGGTACACCTAGGTTGGAATTTACACTTTAAAAGGCTCATGACTGATTCTAATATGCAACCAAGTTTGGGAACCACTGATTTGGTTCACCCCTAAATATGTATTAAGGTAAAAGCAAAAAGCTAAAGATTGCTTTACCTCTTCCTTTTTAAAAAAAAAAAAAAAAACAACTTTTTTTTTAAAGTTTATTTTATTTATTTTGAGAGGGAGATAGAGAGCAAGTGGAGGAGGGGCAGAAAGACAGAGGGAAAGAGAGAATCCTAAGCAGGCTGTGCGCTGTCAGCACAGAGGCCAATGAACCCACGAACCATGAGATCGTGACCTGAACTGAAACCAAGAGTTGGACATTTAACCAACTGAGCCAGCCAGGAGCTCCTGCTTTACCCATTCCTAACAAGTAAGAAAATTAAATGAAAAGGGGAGGAAACTAGTACAATAGGAATAGAAAGTTAAACTGAAGATGTATACCAATGTCTGGTTCTAATTTCCAATAAGATTTTTGAGGGAAAACTCCCTCTAGGACCAAGGGAATTAAGGCAGCTGGCTGTTGAAAACAATAGCTCTAGCAAACTACCCCGATGTTAAATCAAGGCTCTTAATTAACTTTTCATTAAATTAATCTTAATACAAGCCAATCTAAAACGCTGACAGGCAGCACAGACTGATGGGACACTGCCTGCCCCAGAGCTGGGACCTGGTGGGGACGTGTGTCTCTTGCGCATCAGGAGTGGGACCATGTGCCTTGTCATCTCTCCAGGCTGGGCCATTTCCACTACTGAAGGGGGAATGATCATCTCTACCTATTTTCCAGGGTTTTGAAGCCCAAATGAGATAATTTACATTAATAGGTTTTATAAACTAGAGAGCTTTATACAATTATTATGGTATGCTGTATTTTGCAACATTTTATGGTTCAAACCTTCATTTAATCCCATGACCATGAAAGATGACACATTTTATTTCACTAGTTAGTTAGAAAAGGACAACTTACAATAACAAACTCACTTGGAAAAGCAGTAGACTCTTCAGACAGCACTAAAGAGATCAGTCTACAACACCATCTTTCTCTCTCAAACTCAACCAACCAGCACGAAGAAAAACAGTCTGTTTTCTTAATTATAGGAATTATACCTGGAAAATAACCAAATTGAAGAAATAACCGAGATTTGTTTCAATCACACCAGGAAGATCAATGTCATTGTGCTACGATATAATAAAATTGAAGAAAACAGGATTGCTCCTTTAGCCTGGATAAACCAAGAGTGAGTATCCGCTGCTGTCTGACTGTCTTAGACAGTTTCTTCCCGCTGTCATTACTGCACGGGCTATGAATGAGCGACACCCTTTCATAGTGAACCCTCCCCCAAACCTGGCTATCTGATTGGAGCTTGTGGTATGGCTGGTGTTGAGGTGACCACAGTCTCTGTTACTTGGACACCCCACCCCCAGCCCAAGCGCTGAGTGACCCAAGGTCTGTCCACCTCACAGGTGGTCATGAAGTTGAAGTGAGGCCAGCCCTGCCCCTGCTGATAAAGGAAGATGCCCCCTTACCCTTGTGGGACCTCACGGTCTCACGCCTCCGAACCCTTTCTCTGTCTCAAGTCTTATACAACAGGCGGGAAGGTGTGTGGCTGGAGAGGGAAGGCAGGAAGCAGGGTCTATGGCTGGCGTGGGGGTCTTGCCTGTCAGGAGGGCAAGACAGGCCATGGCGGGGCGGCGGGGGGAGCTGGGGAGAAGCCAGATTGGGCCGTGTGGGGAGGGCATGAGGGATCTGAGTGGCACAGTGGGAACAGGCATCTTTCAGGGGCAGGACAGAGGGATGAGACAGCCTCAGGTCCAGCTGAGCCCAGCAGCACACGGTGGTGGCAGGGTGACTCAGAAGCCACAGGGGAAGCTCCTGAAACAACCAGGCAGCCCCCTTTTCTCGACCCCTGTGTCACCACAAGCCCTATGTGCCAGGCTGTCAGATCAGGTGTGGAGCAGAGGTGGTTTCAGGGATAGGCAGCTGGACGTCTGACCCCAGAGACAGTGGTGGGTCCTGAGTTCACTACTGCCCCAGGAATGAGCTTTCTTCCTGATCCCGGCGCTCTTTGCCCTGGAGATGGAACAGCTGCGTGGTGACCAGGTAAGAGCGGGAGCCTCGCGGCCACCCTCACGCACAAGCCACTGCTGCACACCCAGTGGGGGCAGGAAAATGGCTGAGTATCCCTGTGGTCCCTGCCCCACGCTCTGCTCTGCTCACCCTTCTTTGCTGCAGAAATCTCGAGTCGATCGACCTGTCCTACAACCAGCTCTACCACGTCCCCTCCTACTTGCCCAAGTCACTGCTGCACCTCGTGCTCCTCGGGAACCAAATCGAGCGCATCCCTGGCTACGTATTTGGCCACATGGAGCCAGGCCTGGAGTATCTGTACCTGTCATTCAACAGACTCTCAGACGACGGCGTGGACAGAGTCTCCTTCTACGGGGCATACCATTCTCTGAGAGAGCTGTTTCTGGATCACAATGACTTAAAATCTATACCACCTGGGGTACAAGAAATGAAAGCACTCCATTTTCTGAGGTTGAACAACAACAAGATACGGTAAATTTTGGCTTTTTCAAGTATCGATTTAAACTGCTGTGGTTGACAGAGTATACGATTAAACAACCATGACATGATGTCTGGGATTTCCTTCTAAGGGGAAAAAAAGGACAAGAGGTCACATTGAACAAGATAGGCAGATGTTCATAATTACTGAAGGGGGTGATAGGCACTCAAGGATTCATCACAGCTTTTTTCTACTTTTGTATATGTTTGCAAACTTCCATGGTAAAAACCTTTAGAATGGAACATTATTACCTAATACTGAGAACCTAAGGGGTGGGTTGAAGTGAGGCTTCAAGATGGGATATTACAGTGCTGCTCCTACCCTCATATGAAATTTAAAACATTCTAATCTGATTAGAATCTAAACTGATTCTATCTAGATTCTTCCTGAAGGAAAAATTCTGAAAAAAATTACTGAGTGTCAGCTTCTCTCACTTCTGGGGACACAATTTCCTATCTGCCTGGAAAGCATGAAGGTCTCAAGGATTCATCTGGAATGCTGCGGTAGTGCAGCCAAAGGCTGATCCTTGAGATGGGGTCTTGTCTCTACCCCTTCCTCTTTTCTCTGTCTCTAGAATTCCAAACACAAACTCCCAAAAACAAAAGAGGGAAAGAGTCAAGGGTGTATAACAGTACTGGAGGGAGAGGTGGGAGTGGGGAAGGCTTTATAAGATTCAGTTAAAAACGGTTTGGCTAGAGTACTTCATAGCTGTGCTCTGTGCTTTCTATTTGTGTCAGAAAGCACATGCCTGTCCCCCTTCCAGCCTGACATCTTGATTAATACCTTTCTCCTCCACCTCTGAACCATTGGTTTCATTCACAGATGATTGTTGCTTGAACCTCTTATTTCTTTAAGGGTAACAAACTGCTGAGCCCTATGTTTGTTATCCTTCCCACATTTGTCAGCTGGAACTCTTATCAACCAGGGCCACTTTGTTACTCAGAGGGGTAAGATGAATGCTCCGTTCTTCCCCTGAAATGTCCAATCAGAGCAAGAGGCTGGCTAAAAATTTCTAACCATGTGAGCTGACAGATGTTACCTAAACTTAACATGCAATCATTCTGCAGTATCTACAAATGCCAAATTATGTCTTATATCTTAAACTATCATGTTGTATGTGAATTCTATCTTTACAGAACTGGAAAAAAATGATACATGTATTAAATATGAATGGAAAGGACTATAAAACATATTAAAATATATTTCCAGCTGTCTCAGGAAAAAAAAGAAGTCGGTGCCTAAGTGTTTGTGTTTTTTTGTTTTTGGCTTTCTCTCTTTCTCTGGAGAATCAATATGAACTCATGGTTTTATATATTCAGAATGCTTTCATCAACTGTAATTATTGTTCTTAAACTCCACTCCTTGGCCAGAGGTAGCGCTCAGAGCTGGCTCCGTGTCCTTGGAGAGGCCTCTGCTGACCCGGGCAGCACTCTCCTCCCCCTGCCACGCACCAGTGACAGCTTTCTCCCAGAGAGGTCCAAGCCCCCTCAATGGGAGCAGCATCCACATGCCCCAGGCTGGGGACCGGGCACTGTCTTTTCTAAAGTGTTGTCACTGTTTCAAGGCTTGCAGTGAACTGCCAGGAAATATGTATTTTGTAAAGAAAAAGAACAGGAGTTCACACTGGTGTTTCCAATTCAAATTTAACCATATAGAGTATTCCTTTTGTTTTAAATTTGTTTATCTTATACTGAGAATCTAGGTTCTCAACAATGTTAACTAAGTCATTATCTTACAATGTACAAACAATAGTTTCGAAATAAGAATACCATTACTACAAGCACAAAAATACTGAATTAAGTATACAGTGTTTTGGGGAGCTCTATTTGCTTTTAGAATATGTTCCACAAAGGATGTGTAGCTGAAATATTGTGGCCTACTTTGTAACAATATGTCAACAACTTAATATTCAGATAAGGTCTTTGGTTTGTTTTTGGTTTCAGGGAATTACTATTTTCTGTTTGATTAATGATTTTTACTATGTTAAACATTTATAGAATTCCAAAGTCAAGACTGTATAACAAGGTATGTTAAGAGAAGTCCTTCTATGCCTGTACCTTATGCTGCATTCCATCATTCTGCTTATTAATTTTTTTAAATTAATTTGTGGTTTTTCCTTTCAGTATTTTTTTGCAAATATAAGTATACATACATACACATATTCCCCACCCTCTCCCACAGTTACTAAACAAATCATTACCAGAAAGATTTTTCTTTTTTCTCTTTTAATTTTGTTTAAACGCTTTTATCCATTTGTGAGAGAAGAAGAGAGACAGAGCATGAGTGGGGGAGGGGCAGAGAGAGAGGGAGACACAGAATCCGAAGCAGGCTCCAGGCTACGAGCTGCCAGCACAGAGCTCTGACACGGGCTCCAACCCTGAACTGTGAGAGATCAGCTACCTAAGCCGAGTCAGGCTAACTACATGAGCACCCAGGTGCCTTGACAGTGAGTGGTACTTTCTTTTTATAACGTCTTATTTTTGAGAGAGAGAGAGAGAGAGAGAGAGAGAAGACAGACAGAGCACAGAGTGGGGAAGGGCAGAGAGAGAGAATCCTCAGGCGGCTCCAGCTCCATTAGTCAGACCTGAGTTCCCATGGCGGGGCAACTCTTCCATGAACACAAAAAATCATGACCTGACTTTGGTCGACACTAACTGAGTGGCGACCACGGGCTGCCCCAATCGAGTGGTACTTTTTATAATTATCAGTATAGCCTTACTATGCCTCCTTATCAATATATGAGAATTTCCTCATTTCTGGTTACACAAGAAGTACCAGCACCATATTCATTATGTAGTAAATTTTATTAACCAGTTCCTTATTGATACATCACTTGCTTCCATTCTTTACTACTACAAGAATGCCATAATGCTATCATCTTTGGACAGCCTTTTATATTTTCCAGACTAACTTGGGATAAGAGTCTCAGAAGGAGACTGCAGAGTGACCGGGCAAAATGCACGGACCCTGCTAGGTGAAATGCTGCCAATCCCCGACCCCCCCCCCACCCCCCTCCTCGGGCTGTCCTTCTTTGAATCTAGCTACTGTGTGATCCTGCACAGCCCCATTATCAGACCATGTTGATGAGCTTCTGAATTTTTTTTTTTTTTTAGCCTGAGGGCAAATCTACAGTGACAGTAGTGCGTTGTGCCAGGATACTTCTTTTTTTAAAAATTTTTTTTTCAACGTTTATTTATTTTTTGGGCAGGGGAGAGACAGAGAACAGCAAACTGGGAGGGGCAGAGAGGGGAGACACAGAATCGGAACAGGCTCCAGGCTCTGAGCCATCAGCCCAGAGCCCGGCCTGGGCTCAGCTCTGGGACTATGCGGATGGTGACCTGTGGTCGCGGACGGCTGCCGACGCTAAACCGACCGCCAGCCCGTAGTCACCAGGATACTTTCAACGTGCACTTCTCTTGTCATGAATGAAACTAAGCATCTCTTCATGTTTATGTCATTTCATTTTTTCTCTGGTGGGCTGGTTACCAGGGCATTTCCCTCACTTCTCCTTTTTCTGCAGGGGCTTTTAGGAGGTCTCTGTCCACTGGCCCTATATCTGTGATATAAGTTGCAAAAGCTTTCTCCTAGTTTGCCATTTGTCTTTTAACTTTGCATTTTTTTTTTAAAATTTTTTTTTAACGTTTATTTATTTTTTTGGGACAGAGAGAGACAGAGCATGAACGGGGGAGGGGCAAAGAGAGAGGGAGACACAGAATCAGAAACAGGCTCCAGGCTCTGAGCCATCAGCCCAGAGCCCGACGCGGGGCTCGAACTCACGGACCGCGAGATCGTGACCTGGCTGAAGTCGGCCGCTTAACCGACTGCGCCACCCAGGCGCCCCTTAACTTTGCATTTTTAAAACACCTGTAGTCGCTTTATTAATCTTTTCTTTTAGTGCTTCTGATTTTTGAGTCACAAGGGTTTTTTTTTCCCCCCCTGCTCCTAGGGTATACTAGTTCTTCATTTTTCACATTTAGATCTTTGATGTATTTAAAATTTTTTCTAGCATATAAGAAAAAGATCCAATTTTATTTTATTTTTTAAAAATTGGGGAGGAGGCACCTCAGTGGCTCAGGAGGTTGTATGTCCGACTTCGGCTGTCAGATGTGCTAACAGCTCGGAGCCTGGAGCCTGCTTCAGATTCTGTGTCTCCCTCTCTCTCTGCCCCTCCCCTGCTTGTACTCTGTCTCTTTCTCTCTCAAAAATAAGTAAATATTAAAAAAATTTTTTTAAACAAAAACAATTAAGCAAATGTAATTTGGAAATCATTTAATTAGACTGCACATTACTTCCCTAAAAATTTTAAGAATTGTTGTTCTTCAAAATGATTAAGAACTCCTTATAAAAACTATGCCATTTTTTGCTGTATACCCAGCATTAGTCATTGGAACCACTGACACACAGACAAAAGCATAACCTGGGTAGTGAAAATGGATTTGTGATAAACACCCCAGAATTATCAAATAGCCCCTGGGGTCCTGGCTGAGCCCAACAATACAACAACATGAAACTAACTCTTTAATACCAGAATTGATCTCCTAACTTCCAGCTTATTTCTGCCAAGTTATCAAAGACAACAACCAACTCATCTGCCAAACCTAGCGATAATTAATGACCCTTGAGCAACACAAAGTTCTTCTCACAGAAGTGAGATGATTCTTCACAAGATGATTTCCCTCAAATAATTCTATCAACTAAGTTAACGTCTTTTCTAAGGCTCATTTTCCTTTCTGACAGACATCCTGAAGGAATGTCCTCAAATTTCAAAGCTATCATTTAAGAGAGGCTCTAACAGCATTTGTCATTTTGTGTGCATTCCTTTGTACCTTCATGAAACGAAACCCTTGTCCAGAGAATAGGGGTCAATGTTAGTACTGACACGAAGAAAACCAGGCTGAAAATAAAGGGCAGAATTTCAACAAGTGTGTAAGTAGTTCATATAAACAGTTGGCCTGACTTCCACATACCACTGACATTTCTTTTTGTTGAACACTCAGTATCTTCAACAAGAGCACCAGCAAGTTTGAGATAAAAAATGTAAGGATAGCTTTGATCATAAAGATCCATCCACTAGATACGACAGTCAAGGCCAAGACTCATATTAATAGATTCATTATGTCTTTAAATGTGGCCACAAAGACTAAAGTTGTGGGCTGAGTTATGAAACATGAGACTGCAAGTACCATGAACACTCGTGATAATAAATGGAAACTCATTTGACCCTCAAATTCAATATTTTTACACCAGCTCTTTTTGACATACAGAACTCAAATTCTGGAAACGAATGAATTTGCCTTTTTGTTTCCTTAAAACAATTTTTTAGGAAAATAAAAGTTTTTTGGGAAATTCTCTCACCTGTCCCCCTGATGTTCCTTTACACTTTTTGCTAAAATTCACTTATATTCTATCTTCAACCATGTTATATACTCTCTGGTACTTGAAAAGGAAGAGCACCAAAACTTTTTTAAAAATGTGAAATTTAACTAAGTTACATAAAGCTCAATACTACTTGGACCATTTATGGCTTGTACATCTATTTTTCCTCAGGAACATTCTTCCAGAACAAATCTGCAATGCTGAAGAAGATGGCGATTCAACCCTGGAACACCTTCATCTTGAAAACAATTATATTAAAACAAGAGAAATATCATCCTATGCATTTTCATGCATAAGATCATATTCAAGTATAGTTCTTAAACCACAAAATATCACATAATTCCAAGTTTTTGTTCATCACTTACAAACCATACTCCTGTATTTGTTGTAGTGGCATCTGTCATCAATAAGTGAGACCCAGCCCACAGAGAAACAACCAAAACACACCCTGAGTTTAGTTTTCCAGCAGTCTTAGTGAAAGTGCAGCTTCACACTCTAGAAAAAAGCCCCCTCCTGCAACTTTCCTCAAGAGAACAGGATCTTACTCGCTGCTGAGTTAGACTGGGAAAATCTGGAGCAAAATAAGAATGTCCTTTACAACCGACCTGAGTATTGCTTTAGGCTAGGCTCTAAGTCCCTTTAAAAAATACATGTGTTATGGTTCGAGACCAAGAAGTGCATGGCAGGAAAAAAAAAATAGGTGGAACTTACAAATTAATGTTCTGTTTATTATCCTACTGTTAAAATAATTTAGTATTTTCTATAAGATCCTATGCTACAATTATTGGTATAAATATACTTAGTGATTGGGTTTGCTTAGTTCCTTTTTTAATCACATGTGTAAAATTAAAACACTCCTGTCATGTTACTTTCCTGGTTTTGAGGACTGTAGTATTGTTATATACTGCTTATTAACATTAGAGGAAGCTGGGAGAAGGGCATATGTGAGTTCTACACTATTTTTGAAACTTTACTACAAAATCTAAAATTTCTGCGTCAGTTTAAAAAATTAAACAATATTTTAAGATCACCCTCATTATTCTTTATTCAAGATCAAAAGATTTTATGGAAAGTAGTGGACTTTGCTTAAAATATGTTCATTGTCCTTGACTATACCTTATAAATATAAACCCTAAGGCATGCATTTTTGAAAATTTTTGCTCCAATGGTTACTGTTAGCAACTACCTTCTTTCAATGTGCTCAAAAGTATACTTTTATTCAGTTCAATTTAACATAAAGCTATTAGTATTTACTATGTACTAGAACCTGCCAAACCATATGGTATTAAAATTTTTATTATGTAATGATCTTTTGTCTGTTATTTCTGGAACAATTTATAAAGGACACATACAGAAACTGTGCTGACTTCTTTCGCTGCTCTCAGCTTTGTGTCTAGGAACTCATATTCAGGTTACTCTAACTTTTCAAACTTCAGTGACCTAATCTTTCAATAGTGGTTTTGCCACCTGGGGGAGCTTCTGGTTCCACTTAGAGGGCTGTCATGAGAACCAGAGAGGAATGAAAACTATCCAGGAAATGTGGTACTCAGGTGAGTGTACTTACTACCTACCTTTTATATAAAATTGACAGCTACCAGCATATTCACCAAAGCTATTTCCTAACTTTCTCAGATATGAGTTTGATATATCCTATTCAAGACAATTTTATTTCCTTCTTAAAAAAAAATTATTAAGTAATCTTCACAACCAATGTGGGGCTCGAACTTACAACCCCGAGTTCAAGAGTCACAGGCTCCACCCACTGCCAGCCAGGCATCCCAAGCTAATTTTATTTCTGAGCCCTTCTTTCTAGGTACCCTCTCATACTAGCTAGGATTTTGAGATTATAACATGAACAAGAACAATAATATGATGAAGACTGTTAGAACCAAGGGCAGAGGCTTAAGCCAGGTGGCTAAGAGCAGAAGCAGAATCTTGGGGAACAAAAAGTTGGGACTTATAACCAGTTTAGGAAAGTAGGAGCATTACTAATTTAAATTGGCCAAGTTGAATGGAGGAGACAGGTAAAAATAAGAATATACAGTTATTCATTCCTTTGACAAGAACCTTTAATGCTTCTTGCTGCGTGAACGTAAATGCACTGACATAACCTGTTGAAGGCAGTCTAGGGAGCAAAGTTTAAGGTGAGTCGGCAGAATGTGCACCCTGGAACAATGCAGATGGACACTGTGCCATTCCTGCACCTATTTCTCACTTTGACTTTACTCTGTGTTCCAGACGCTGTTCTAGAGAACCAGGAATAAACAGAATTGGACAGGTCTCTACTCTCTGGGAACACATGGTGTGGTTGGGGAGATAAGGTGCAATGAGGTCAGCAGAAAAGGTGGGGCGGTGGTGAAGCATGCTAGGGTCCTCAGCTCCCTCTGCCTGGGCCCAGGAGTGTGCGGGTCCCATGAGTCACAGTGGGATGCTGCTCCTCCCCCCCCCTGGCCCCCCGCCAGCCCTGGAGTGCCACGAGGCCCAGGCACACAGTAAGAGCCCACTGTGCAATTGGAACACCTTGACAGAACAGATTCTCTAGGAAGGCTGAAAATCAGACTGACTGATGGAAGCTTTACTTTTAAGTTGGAAGACACTTTTATTTTTGATTTTACAACTTAAAATATAAAATATGTCTAGCAATGAACATGTTCAGCCTTGAAATTTCATCATGTCCTGGATAGGACATTTTAATTCCATTAAAAAAAAAAGTGATAAATGTCCTTACAGCAAATGTTCTTCACGATATAATGTTAAAAACAAACAGATGTTCTGCTTGGCTTCAGAAATATGCTGTAATTACTAACACATATGTACACTGAAAAAGTCCTGGCGTAGCTATGATCTAAAAACATTAAAGGTGTGTGCACATACATACAAGGAATGCTAACTATATTATTAATTTTGGGATTTGGCTTAAAATTATTACAAAAAGCACTAAAGATATGACATGGTGAAAGACACGTATAGCCTGGGATTGTAAGGAAATAACTACACCAGGAATCAGGACACATGGGTGCCCACCTTGATCTCCAATGATTAAACTGTACACTCACTTCACTTGTCTGGGATCACTTGATTCAATTATGACATAATGTGTCTGGAACAGATGAGTGGATTTCAAGCATGGCTCATCAGGGGTTCATGGCAACCTGGGGTGGAAACGTCCCTGAGGAAGTGCACAGACTCTCCTTCAGACAAGAAGCTTTGCTAACTTCAGAGAGATTAGCTGCTTTCCCTCCACACCCCGCTTCTCTTAGAACCAATGGACAGGCACTATCTGAATCACAAACCAAGTTTTAAGATTCACAAAGAACATGCATCAAAGTCCCTGGTCCTTCCCTAACCCTCTGCCCAGCTCCCCTACACTCTGAGAACACATGGCTGGAGAGCCTTGGCCTGAGGAAAGATTTCTCAGGTGCCTGGATGCAGCCACGCTCCCCGTGTGCTGGGCAAGGAAGTCTAGCTGGCACAGCTGTTCATCCACAGCTCCAGCGCAGTGGGGCAGTTGGTACTGAGCAGCTCTGCAACAACCAAAGGCTGCTGACCTCTGACCTGAAACACCCCGGAGGGCAGGCAGCTGAGCACGTGTTCTGGCGGGAGCGCAGACAGGCCCACATCCTCTGTCCCCACCACAACCTGTGACTCCCTGGGCAGCAGGCAGGTCAGGATACTGCGACAAGGGTGGGTGGGTGCCACTAGGAAGCACAGCGGGTACGTGGCTGAGCCTGGACTTACTCTGCATCTTCCAACTGAAGTCCAACGAGTGGGAAGTCCGGACACCGGAGTGGGCGCTGGGCACTGGGCACCTGGCGTGGCAGGTGCTGCCAGCAGGGGTGAGCAAGATCCAACCATCTCTCTGCAGGCTTGCACTGCCAGATGACTCCACACATCACTGTAGGAGTCAGCCTCATGGAATATCCTTCCATTTGTTTGTGTTGACTTCAGTTTCTCTCATTAGTGTTTTATAGTTTTTGGAGTACGGGTTTTTTTTACCTTCTTGGTTAAACTTATTCCTAGATATTTTATTTTTGGCACAATTGTAAATGGGATTGTTTTCTTAATTTCTCTTTCTACTGCTTCATTATTAATGTTTAAGAATGCAACCAGTTTCTGTATGTTAATTTTGTATGCTGTGACTTTACTGAAGTTATTTATCAGTTATAGTAGTTTTGTGGTGGAGTCATCATGACTGCTTTCACTAACATGCAAAAAAAAGAAAAACATTTTTTGTGTGTGGTGTCTTTATCTGGTTTTGGTATCAGGGTATTACTGGCCTCCTAGAATGTATGTGGAAGCTTTCCTTCCTCTTTTATGTATTTTTTTGGAGGGGGAATAGTTTGAGAAGAATAGGTATTATCTCTTCTTTAAATGTTGGGGCACCTGGGTGGCTCAGTCAGTTAAGTGTCTGACTTGATTTTGGCTCAGGTCATGATCTTGCAGTTTGTGAGTTTAAGCCCTGTGTTGGGCTCTGTGCTGATGGTGTGGAGCCTGCTTGGGATTCTTTCTCTCCTTCTCTCTCTGCCCCTCCCCAGCTCTCTCTCTCAAAATAAACAAACATTTTAAAAAAATTAAAAATAAATGTTTGGTAGAATTCCCCCGTGAAGCTATCTGGTCCTGGACTTTTATTTATAGCTGGGAGTTCATGGATTACTGATTCAATGCCATTGCTAGTAACTGGTCTGTTCAAATTTTCTATTTCTTCCTGATTGAGTTTTGGAAGGTTATATGGCTTTTATCCATTTCTTCTGGGTTGTCCAATTTTTTGGCATATAATTTTTCATAATATTCTCTTATAATCCTTTGGGTTTCTGTGGTGTTGGTTGTTATTTCTCCTCCTTCATTTCTGATTTTGAGTCCTATCTCCTTTTTTCTTGATGAGTCTGCCAAAAGGTTTATTAATTTTGTTTGCCTTTTCAAAGAACCAACTTCTGGTTTCACTGATCTATTCTATTGCTTTTTAGTTTCTATATCATTTATTTCTGCTCTGATCTTTATTATTTCCTTCCTTCTGCTGGCTTTGGATTTTCTTTGTTGTTCTTTTTCTAGCTCCTTACACTTCAGTGTAAGGTTAGGTTGTTTGAGATTTTTCTTGCTTCTTGAGGTAGGCTTGTATTTAGAACAGCTTTTGCCACATCCCAAAGATTTTGGACCTTTGTGTTTTCATTTTCATTTGTCTCCATGTATTTTTTAACTTCCTCTTTGATTTCTTGCTTGACCTGTTTGTTGGTTAGCAGCATGTTATTTAGCTTCCACGTATTTGTGCTCTTTCCAGATTTTTTCTTGTGATTCGTCTATTCTGGAGAATGTTCCATGTGCACTTGAAAACAATGTGTATTG